TCCCTCCTTTCCCCTCTCTCTGCTGCTCCCCACGCTCCTACACAATGAATAGACTTGCATCCCGACTACAGAACCAATTGTCACGCTGGGAGGAGGGCAAATCAAATCTTACGGCAGCAACTAGGCGAGGAGATTGCTTTTCCTCTCAGCTGGCGAAGGAGCCAATCTGTCTCTTTTCCCCCCCGCCCGATCCTCAGCTTTTTAGCTGGAGAGAAGGGTGAAAAGGCTAAAGTTATTGGGGCAGAGAGAGTACTCTGCAGGTTCAGGTCTCTCGCCCACTTCTTCCTGTTCGCTCGCTCGCTCTGTCTGTGTCTCTCTGAACACTTTCTCTCCACTTCATCCTGACGCTGGCCATCAGTCACAGGTAGCAGCGGGGATCGTGGCACTCCCTGCAGTCCTCCAGATGAAAGACAACAATAATTAGGTGGATAAAGGGGGCTCAGAGCAGCCAAACCGGCGCTGTTCACATCAAAACACACACAAACACACACACACACACCCTCCAACTCCGATTATCTGTTTGTTTTCGGCAGCAGTTACCGTCCTTGCAGTGGTTAAACAGTCCACACTCCACATCTGACCTGAAACCTGAGCTCACACTTAACTTATTGACCTGTCATTCAATCTGAGGTCATTCAAAAACCTGTTAAGAAGCCGCATGTCTGTACGGAAAAGATGAACCAATACTTGGAATTTGTTCTAAAAGAAAAAAAAAAATCCGACACCCTTCAGTTCAGGTCAGCTGTCATCTGACACCCTTCAGTTCAGGTCAGCTGTCAATCTGTCCTGGGTCGGGGATAAGATCATCTTAGATGGGTCCCCCACCCTGTAATAATACCATGGTCCCATCAGCAGACTCGTTTGCCTCTCCCCCCCCAACCCCATGCGTCTTCCCCGTCGGCATGAAGTGCTTCAGTTACTTGTCAATGTCCATGCATGGTCAGGAAAATGACCTTAAAATAACAGTAATTTGACCTCGAAAAAAAAAAAAAAATCACACACTGCAGACCCTTCCGTGTAAAAATGGAATTTGAGTTCCGGAATAAAAGTGGCCCATTTCTGCCACCTCGTCACACGACGGAAAGACGAAAAGTGTCAAAACTACACATCACGTTGAAAACGCTGTCTTTCTAGGACTTTCTAGGAGATTCGGGGCAGACGTCCCTGTCAGACAACTTTGGAATTATATGTTGCATACAAATAGGATATCAGACATTTTTTTTTTTTTTTAACAGCAAGGAGTGAAATTAACGTTAAAAAAAGTCAGGTGTCAGTTGTTGAATGAAAGAACTGATAAACATTTTTTAAATTTTATTTCACTTCACATGCGCTCCCTTAAATTAAATGCTCAAAAATGAAGTAAGAAATGAAAAGACGTACCTCGAATTTAAAGCTGATAATGATTAATAATTTGATAATTAATTTATTTAACATAATGAATTTCTCTTTGCTAAACAGTTAAACTAACGGCTTGGCCAAACGGACAAAAAAAAAAAACAGAACTGTTGGAGGTTGATGAAAGTGACCACCTCACATTGAATAATAAATAAATAATTTTTAAAAAGAAATTAAGAAAAATGATGACTTGCAATACACTCCAGCATCTCCAGAAAATCTGACTGTTTTGTCTCTGTCATGCCTGAAACTCCTTAATGCCATCAATTTGTCTGATGGAAAATTTCCTCCGGTGCCTGTGGTGGATTTGAAATGCTTTTACTGCCGCCGTAAAATGCCGAGTTTCAACGTACACACAAGGACAAATGAGACAGACTCAATCAAAGCTGTCCGATCCGATTTGGTCCCTACAGTTTGTGTTGGAGCAGACTGAAGACGAGGGGGGCGGGGGGGGTATCCGTTTGTCTTAGTATTTTTAGCTCACCGTTGTCACAGCGGCTTAAACATAAACTCACGGCCTCGGTCTTGGAAGGAAGTTTTTCACATTATATGTGCTCTCGCAGGATGTGTCATCTCTGAAGGGGGAAGGATGACAGGAAGCAGAAGTGGGGTGTTTACGGTCCTGCGGTTCGAGGAGGAAACAGTGATATTGGATTGTTAGGAGATAAACAAAGCAGGAGGAAAGTGTCTGAAAGGAGACCGTATTTGAACTGGAGCTGAATCTAAACAACCCCTTCGTCGTGGGCCGCGTCGTAAAAGCCTGTTCGGTCTGTAACGACCGTTTTTAAGCCCACGTCCTTTACCTTTCTATAGGCAGCTAACCACGGTGTGAGATTAACGGCGCTTGGTTTATTTCAGCGAAGGAGTTACTGCCATTGATCATTGAATACAAACTACTTGTGAGATAAAAGACCGAGTGTAACAGTATGCCCTGGAAGAATACGACAAAAGTCAGCCAAAAAAAAAGCCTGGGCAAAAATAAACAGCACTGACTACACCTTAGTGAAAAACACAGCCAGAAAATAGCTCGAAATCTTGAATGAACTTCAGTTTTGAGTTCTCTTTTGTCTTTGTCTCCCATTCTTATAAAAATAATAATAATAATAATAATAATAATAATAATAATAATTATTATTATTATTATTATTATTATTGCTGTTGCTACTATTATTATTGGTTGCATCAAAGTGTGCTGAAAAAATGTTAATGTTTATTTGCGTTCCTCACTGTGGGCGTCGAATCTCCGTGTTGTCCTTTTCTCGTGATGGTGCCGACTTTTAAACGTAGCCCTGATAACAGTTCAGTGAACTTTCCTCATGAATCAACCCCTGACTCGGGGCTTTTATCAGGACCCGGTGTCTGCACTGTTGGAATTTAAAGTGAGCCCTGCTTTGTTTCTCCAGAAAATACCTGCATCTTATCACAGTGTGTGTGGAAGGAGTCAGTTTTCTTCCCAGCGTCTGGGAAACTCCTCCTCTGTGACGAGATTAGATAACCTTCAAACCTCTGACATGTCACCCAAGTGTCGGGAGATGCTGCACAGAAGCAGGAGGGAAACAGAACCTGCGGCTCACCGTTCCCTCTTTCTTTCTCTAAATAAATGTTTGAAATAAGCAGAATGTGGGAAGTCTTTGATGTGTGCTCTCTAATATGGTTCACACTTCTATCGTATGCATATTCGGAAAGGAAGGAAAACTCTTTTTTTCTTTTTTTTTTTATCTGTAATTGCATGCTTAAGATTCCCCTCGGTGCTTTCTTAATTTCGGCTGCTTCCCCCTGCATTTATTTATTCAATATTTTACACGAATGTCTTCTCCAACATGGTCAAAGTGAACAGTTCAGAGAAGAAGAGGAAGAAGAAAGAGGGTTTTTTTTCTCACCCTTAGCCTGCATAATAATCTCTCCTCTAGGGTTTTAAATTATCAGAGGCTGGAAAGCAAAAACTCCTAAAACTCTCAGGAATGGTGCTTTTAATGCTCGGCTTCAACAAAAACCTGTGGTGTAAAATGTCAACTAGGCTTCTAGTGTCAGACAATCAAGAGAAAAGTAAGCTAAAACTTAGCCAAACCAAGTCGGCATTCTGTGGTTAACCCAAGGTTCTGGGCATGCTGGGCACGGCTCCCCAGGAATGGTGTTGATGGATGGGATGCCGAGGACAAATTTCATTTGTGTAAATGTGTCCAGTGCTTTCTTTTCCAAATAAAACCTCTGATATAGATCTGCCAGAGAATAACAGTTCTCACATTAAGATATTCTTGTATTAAGAAACACATACCTGTTGTCTGTTTGGAACACCAAGGAATACATGGACCAGTTTGTTACACACAGAACGAGTCTACCGCTTTTTGAATTTGTTTTGGGGTACGTGCTCTTATTTTGTAAGTGAGTAAAGACAGGAAGTGGTACACGGCGACCACGGAGCACCTGTCGTTTATTCATTTGTTTTTATGTTCACCCGTGGTGTGTTTTACATACGGTTTTATTCGATTCTTATGTTTTTTTTTTTGTCAGTAGAAATTGTCGCTGGGTGTATGACTCTATGCCATGGGTTACGAAGCAGGCCAAAGTTGTCGGTATTGCTGTTATATGTATTCTTTATCGGTATTAGCTAAAAATGCTGAGCAATGCTATTTCCGTATTGATTACAATAACTTACGTTGTCTTTTGTTTTGTTCTAACTGAATTAGTTAGTTCAACGGTTTTAAGAAACGAACTCTAAAACGAGTCTTGCATACGACCAATGGACGGCATAGCGACAAAACGACAAAAAATAAAAACACTTAGTTAGTTATATGTAAACTGCAGTATCACGTCCAGAATTTACCAAAAAAAAAAAAAAGTGAGGAGGAAACCTGACGGAATTGCACACAAGCACACTGCTGGTGGGGAGGTTTATTGACATATTCATTTTTTATTTTTTATTTTTTTGTCTTTCACATGTTCAAGCAAAGGCAGTAAATTAGAAAAGTTGCCCTGAAAATCGGGCCAAAATGCCCCTGAAACTAATTTGACGGTGGGTAAAGAAGCAGCTGAATCTCCCTGCTGTCTTACCTAATGACTAGCTGGTCTCTCAGTCTCAGCCTCTGTCTCTTCAGTGTGTGTGTTGTTAAAGTGGCCGTGGCTGTTTCATCAGGGCCTCTGTGTAAAATAACATTTCTACTGAAAGCCAATTAAGCTGAACATTATTTTTGTTGCTTCCATTATTAAAAGTACCTCTCTGTCTTTCTCCCCTGCTCCCCCCTGACACCCATTCACCTCCTCCTTCCTCCTCTCCATCTCCTCCTCCTCCTCCTCCTCCACGTGTCTCCTCTACAGACGGAGAATTACTCCATCGACTCCAGTTACGTGAACAGCAGAGCTCACCTCATTAAAAGGTAGGTCTTGATTAGGAACTGTTACCTCCGCCTCGTTACCATTCTTATCTGTAATTGCTTTATCTAATGAGTGCAGAGCTCGCACTGCCGCAGCTGAACGTCCTCCTGCCTGTCAGTGTGTGTGTGTGTGTGTGTGTGTGCGTCTGTGTGTTTTCTGTGTGTGCGAGTGCGAGTGCAGCGGCAGATTAAGATTTTTGGGGGGGATAAATAACATTATACTTCTGTAATACA